TGATGGTGTCCCACCTGCATGCTTCGTCTCAGCGGCGGTATGGGGTTTTGCTGGCGGTCCTTCCTTTTCTTTTTATCTCTTTGTAGGTATCCTGTGCTTTTTGTTGATGTGGTCTTGTCCTCTCTTGGGGGGTTTAGGACCGACGTCTTGACATACTGTCGCCTTGTCTCGTGCGGCGCTGGCGGAGCCACTATGAATTGCTTTTGATTTTGGTGTTTCTCCTACATCGTTTCGCAAGCTGTCTCGGGCTTTTTTTTCACCTCCGGCCTGCTCATAAGCCGTCTAAGCCATCCTGGTCTTGAACAGGGTACTCTCTTTCTCTTCCCTTCGGTTATTGTGGCCCCTTTGGTTCCGGTTTATTTCTCCATTGTTTCTGCTCTTTTGGTTTCTGGTGATCAGTTTGTTTGTTTTAGCTGTCTCTTCTTTTCAGGCAAGGTTGGGAAGGCTGTTTTCCAGAGGGATCCCTGGGGTTTGTTGCTGCTTGTTTGGTTGGCCGGGGGTGCTTCTTGTGTCCGAGTGTGTGGCTTTCGGTCTTTGCCTGCGTGCCGCAGCCTCTGTGGCCCTAGACGCGCTTTGGGCTGACCTGTGGTTCCCTTCGTCCCTGTTCTAGAGGTTCAGGTCTCCCGGATCGTCCGCAGGGTCGTTTGGTGTTGCCAGTTGTCTTGCTTTCGGGTTCGGGCGTGTGGTTTCCACCTCCCAGGTTAGTCCCTTTTTTGTCCTTGTTCTTTGGGTAGTTAGCTCCGGGTAGCCGACGGTGCTTCCCCCAGAAAATCAGCGCTGAATATAATGAAACGCCATTTTCTGGGTGAGACCCCGGAGGCTCCCCGGTGACCCTCCCTTCCTCCAGTCGGTGGTTTTTCACGTATTTTTGATGTCCAGCCTCAGAACTGAGGTTTTGGATAGCCGGCACGGGGGGGGGGGGGTCTGGAGCTTCTCCCTTCCCCTCCTGGGGAGGGGGAGAAGCTGCGTGGACGGCGGCGTGGTGACATGATGCTCGTTTGCTCGTTTTTGTTTGGGGAGTTCTGTCCACTAGTTCGGCTTTTAGTCACAATTTCTTAACTAGAATAGAGGTTTGTTTTGGGATGCTTACCTTTCTGGGTGCCTGACCTGGTCAATGGCAGACATAGAATGCTTCCAACCAGATGGAAGGAACTGATGCCAAAGTCTAATAGCAATATCAGCCTGGATAGCTCTGGGGAGCTTCTGGGTCTCACCCAGAAAATGACGTTTCATTACATTCAATGCTGGTTTTTTGTTAAAAAAAAAATCGGTCATAAGCTGTACTTAACCATTTTTGTCTTTGGGGTAGAGAGGTTTAGGTTAAGGCATGCTAAAAAACATATCTTGTGATCAGGTCTCTTCTGTTTTAGGCAGAAATCCTGGGATCATTCTTAAGTCACCATCTAATTTGATTCGGTATGGCTAATAAAAGAGGAGAGCTTAGTGTGGGGCTTGTCAATATTTTGCTTGGTGCTGTTTCAAGTGATTTGTCAGATATTTAGCTAACATGACACTTGAGTAAATTATGAATATTATTCCAGCAATCTACAATATATGTATAAAGGAGAGAATGTCTGTCTCCAAGGTTGGAGGCCAGATGCTTGTGTCTAGCCTCACCAAAACTTTGCAAGAGAAATACAGGTTCAGGGGTATGGGACGGACATAGATTGAACTAAGTTGTTCCTATTGATCTTATTAAGAGGGGTAAGGAAAACCTAGTGATCCTTCCAAAAAAATTGGTGAAAGGTGGTTAACTGAGCAACCTGTTCTCTCTATAGCACGTTTAATTTTGACATATACTTTACCTAAGTCCAAAAACTAATGTACAAGAAATTTGTAGTGGCTTACTATATTGACAATGTCCTGTTTTCAGTCTGCTGTTCCTCTGGTTGGTTTGGTTAGGGCACTTTAGTACCACAGTTACTGGATGTTGGGAACAAGAATGGGCTTGACCGAATCCCTAGATTTCGTTATTTGAATGTGATGAAGGAGAACTCGGTATTAAATGGAAATGTGTATGTTCAAGGGTGGAGATAAAGGGGGAGGGGCGAGAAGGGAGGGAAGAGGGTGAAAGGAGGAGAGAGGAGTGAAGATGAAGGGGGATGGATGTGGGCAAGAGGGGGAGTGAAGAGGAGGGAATTGGCATGAGGGGGAGGGGAGAGGATATCCTGAGCACTGCTGGATACTCCTTCAAGTCTATGTCTATGAGAGAGAAGGTAAGGGAACTATCAGGAGAAACCACCAAGCCATTGTGACTAAAGGACTGGGAAAGGATCAGGTATAGGATGGTATAGGGAGAAGGAATGTTGTCTAAGCAATTGAGCTGTATGATAGAATGAAGGTCTCAATTCATGCAGGTCGGAGTTCAATTCCCGTCTGTTCAAGCGGCTAGGCGACATTCCTTCTCCCTATCCCATTCCAAATCCTGAACTCTTCCCAGAATTGTATAGTCATAATTGCTTGGTGCTTTCTCTGGATAGTTCCCTACCTTCTCTCTCTCAGATATAGACTTGGAGTACCCAGCAGTGTCCATGAAAGGCTGTCTCACCCCATCCCATGCCTATTCCTTCCTCTTCACTCCACCCTCTCCCACATAATTTCCCACTGTCTCAATTCAAGGGAGTAATAAAGTGCCTTAGCCAGAAAGAAGAGTTTCATTTAGATACATGAAGCATATGAAAATAATGCAGTTTATATCTTGTACCACTAGTGAAACTTTAGTGTATGAATTTATTCTATTCCAAAAAATGTAATGTAACATTTTGGAAGGGCAGTCCCCCCTTCCATTATAACATCAGACAGTGATGACATTTCTTGGGTATTCTCTCCTACATTTTATATGCGACACAGGACCTGGTTGTGGCTCACTGCTTGTCTCACTAAGAATCTGTCTAATGGCACTTGTTTTTGCCTACGTTTTAACAATTGTCTGTAGCAAGACATTACCTTGTCATTAAAAAGGTTAACACAACAGCTTGCCACAGTTTCATCTGGACGATTCTTTTCAGCGAAACTTTGCAGTTCTTCCCATATTGCACACATTTTCCTAGCCAGATCAACCATGGGTTGGTGGATCAACCTTCGTCATGTTTATGAATGCTCTTTTTCTTCTCCTCCTCATCATCCTTACAACTATTTTCTAATGTTGAACTTTACCACTGACTGTCTTGGGCCCCCCTGGCATAATATGTAATAAGAACTTTTATTTTAAGCCCCCCCAAAAAATCACAAATATGATAAAAAAAATTTACAGAGAATTCAAGTGTAATTATCATTAGGCAGGATACATGTGCAAATTGATCTTACCAACTCAAGACAAGTATGAACGAGTGGTTCGTACTCTGGAGTGAACATCGTACACGAGAGTAATCAATTTGTCAGAAAGTGCCAAGCATTTTTCTGACAAAATTTTCGTCGTTCACCGGAAAAATCACATTCGGGTTGAATTGTACACGGAGGTTCCACTGTGTATTCACATTATAATTTAATATAACTTTTGTAGTTGTGAATTGTTACATATAACTCAAATGATTTGCTTTGTCTATTTAGCATCATTGTTTTATCCTACAGATCATCATACAGTGGGGGAGCTGTGTGGTGGTGGGACAGTGGGGTTCAAGTCCTGGAGACTGATGAACCTACTAAAGGCAAGCTAAATCGAAGTGATATTATCAGTCACATAGCAGCTCACCGTTAACTCCTTCATAACTCACATCAGGTCCTACCTTACAGTATGCCTTGGCCTGAATTATTACACATCATCCCATTTATACAATTCTTGTGACCCCTTAAGTTAAAACATTTAACACTATCGCGCTCCGCGGCCGCCACCCGACATCACTCATTTTTCTCCCGATTCTGAGCGAGTGACTATGGCTTGCGTCATGTATTAAAATATTTGTAAAAAATTCAATGTTTATCTGATCCACTTCTGGGTGGTTTCAAAATGAGCACCTTTAAATTGCGCACAATTTGATACCAAAATGAAAGACATAACATGAAAATTGATGTCAGAACTCTGGAAAGATAGTAATAATTTTGTGGTGATGAGCATCAAAAAGTGTCCAAAAGTTAAAATATTTGTTAAAATTCCATTTATTGTTCAATTATTATGGGGCTAGTTTTAAAATACATGCCTCTAGATTGCGCACAATTTGATACCAAATTGAAAGACTTAACACGAAAATTGATGTCAAGAAAGATAATGAATGTCAGAAAGAAAATAAATACTTTTGTGGTCCAAATTTTTTAATATTTGCTAAAATTCCATTTCTGGGGGGAGCCCCGTCAGCTCCCCGGAGCTATACCAGGCTGATATGCTAATGTCTGGCTTTGGCATCAGTCATAGTGTATGGAGTTCTTAGGAAAGTTCTTGTCTTAGAGAGACATGGCAAAATGAAAGACGTAACATGCAAATTGGTGTCAGAACACTGGAAATATATAAATAATTTTGTGGTGATGAGCGTCCAAAAGTTAAAATATTTGTTAAAATTCCATTTATTATTCTATTATTATTGGACTAGTTTAAAATACGCGCCTTTATTTTGCGAACAATTTGCGTAACAACACGGGTAACTTTGCCGACTTTTGACTTTGCTGTGGGGAGTCACAGCGGGCTTTTGGACCTTATATGCATATACCCCTATAGGGAATTCTATTGGAAACACAATGATACCAAAACGAACAACGTAGCATGAGAATTAAGGTGAGAAAACTGAAACGAGTATACACTTTTCGGTGTCGCCGCGCGCTCTCCCGAAACGTCGGTACCATGACATCACAGTCTACGGCGTGCCCGCACGGAGTGCAATAGTGTTAACTTGAAATTAATTTTATGTAAGAATGTAATGTTTACATTAAACTTAATTAGTATTATGTTAAATTATATGGTGCAGAATTATTGAATTTAAGTATGTCTACTTAGCTACCTGGGTCCCATTCTGGTCACTTGCCTTATTTGTGAGCATTTCTGACTTGTCATAGAATACTTTAGAGTATAGGGAGTGAATGTTTGTGTATGACTGCTTATACATCTTAGGTGTTTTATAGATCTTAAGATGTGTGAATCTTATGTTATCTAGTTTTCTTACCCAAGGAAACTAATACAAGTAAAAATGTTTTTAATAAAAAGTTATTTTGTTTGTGGGGTATTCTTTTTTACCACATAATTAAAGTTAAAGCATTTAAAAGACTTGTTAGTAATATCTTTCCTGACCACTACACAGCAACATGGTCAAAAGTAATGCAACCTGGGATTCGACCGAATCCACTAGGGGCCTGAGGCTTCCAACTGAAGCTTAATCAGGGTTTCATACATTGCCCCTTGTGCATTTAAATCATAGTCTAGAGTTCTACCTCAATGCTTCTCTTCAAATGCACAGAGAAGTCACATTAACATATCTTGAGGTTATCTTGAGATGATTTCGGGGCTTTAGTGTCCCCGCGGCCTGGTCCTCGACCAGGCCTCCACCCCCAGGAAGCAGCCCGTGACAGCTGACTAACACCCAGGTACCTATTTTACTGCTAGGTAACAGGGGCATAGGGTGAAAGAAACTCTGCCCATTGTTTCTCGCCGGCGCCCGGGATCGAACCTGGGACCACAGGATCACAAGTCCAGCGTGCTGTCCACTCGGCCGACCGGCTCCCCATGTATCAATATCGCGGTGTAATGGTCTAAGGCATTTGCTTGGGAATATTCAGAGCTAAGGTTCAAATCCTTCTCATCGCTCCTACTAATTTTCTTATTGATACATCACATTAATGTGATTTTGGGCATTTGAAGAGAAACATTGAAGGTAGAACTCCTAGACTATGACCAAGAGTGTATGAGGCCGATGCGTGAAACCGGGATTAGACTTCAGTTGGAAACCTCAGGACCCCGTAGAGGATTCAGCAGAATCCCAGGCTTTTACCATGTTGCAGTGTAGTGGTCTGGGCCATTTGCCTGGGCATTACAAGAATATCTTTGTTACTATATCTTGACCTAAATGTTTTTCTCAACGCCTCCGCTACAATGCTTTCCAGTGTGCCAGGGTTAGCACTTTTTGATAATTACTCTGCTAAGCATTCATTTACAATTGCAATGATAATTTTAGGAAATTTTTATAGACTTAAGAATTGTTATTAATACCTTACAACTTTGGTTTTTAATATTTTAGTCATCCTACTCTAACTAGAGTACTGCTGAGAATGAAGTTAAATATTTGCTCATTCAAATTTTTTTGTTATTCTCATTTCATATTTATAGTTTGGCATTATTTTCTGTGATTCATATGCTGGTAAGCAAATTATTTTTCTTTCTTTGTAACTTTTTTTTTTTTACACGTTCCCTTCTTATACTTATGAAAAAGGAGAAGAGGGAAATACAGTAGTGTATATAGTATTAGGGGTGTTCATATCAGCTGTCACATTCACACCTTTGACGGTTTGAGAGTCTTCAAAAAAGTTTTAAAAATAATGTATAGTAATTCCATTTTAACTACTTCACTGTTGATTTTGATTATGAATAATTTGTTCTTATATTCCATTATAATTCAGTTGGTATTAGAAATGGTTTTGTACATTTTTAAGTGGTTGCCAACTATGCTTCCCTGTGTGAGCATCGAGTAACATCTAGCTTCAGGGCCCCACCTTATAACATAATTAGAAAATATGAATCCTTCGTGCAAATTAAACAAAATATAGTCATTTATAATTTTCAAGTAAATACACTTAACACTTTAATTAATGTTAACAGGCATCCATAATTATGTATAATCGATCCAATTCTGAAAGTGTCATCCAATCTCAATATTTCCAAAACTCACTTTCTTGACCTTCAAAGAGTGGCTGTCATCAAAATTGTCACTTTCCCCTCGCACGTGTGCAAAAAAATATGAAACTAATCTGTTCATATATAATGATACATAAAGCAAAAGCCAAAAAAAATCTATACCTATAAGAATGTGTCCAAAGTTGGTGGCCAAGCTCTTCGGAGTAGTCTCATGAAACATTGCTGGGTGAATGATTTGGGTTACATAGGGAGGTCAGAGTCAAGTCCCATGTCTTGCCTTTGGAAATAAGTGGAACCTGCCATTTAATGCAATCTCAAAAAATTCCATCCCTCACTATAATTTAGCAAACATTAAATGTTAGGTTTTTTTCTGGGGGGAGCCCCTACGGCTCCCCGGAGCTATCCTTGGCTGATATGGATACCCTAACTATTTTGCATCAGTCGATGTGGCTGGAGTTCTAGGCCTACCGGGGACCACGAGCCAGAACCTGGCCCCCTCAGAGAGGCACGGGGAGCAATGGCCCATAGAAATGCACATGTGATTTGGAGCATTCTATATCTGCCATTGACCAGGACAGGCACCCAGAAAGGTAAGCGCCACAAAACAAACCCCTATTCTGGTTAATAACAAAAATCGACAAACGAGTGGACAGAACTCCCCCAGGAAAACGAACTAACAAGCATGACGTCACACGAGCCGCGCCACATGTCTGCGCAGCTCCCCCCTCCCCGGGAGGGGGAAGGGGAAGCCCCAGACCCCCGCGCCGGCAATCCCCGCCCCAGTTCCTCGACTGATGGGATCATGCACGGTCGTGTGGCTCCAGCTCCGGTCTTGTCTCAGTGCTGTGACTTATTTGCAGTGCTGCTCTTACGTTGGTCGTGTGAGCTGGGAGTAGTATTCTCAGGTACTCAGGCTGCATGTGCTTAGGGTCACCTTCCCTGAGTACCCTGTAAGTACCGCCCTTGGGGCTTGGGGTTGCCTTCCACAAGTCACCTTGGGTCTACCTCTGTTGGCTTTTCGCTGCTTGGCGTTTGGCCGCCCCGAGGGTTTGGGGGTTTTACTCCCTTGTTTACCTTGGGGTAAGTGGTAATTATAGCACTGGTGGGGCGCAGGGTACTGCGTAGCTAGTTTTCACCTATGACAGTGGCCGGCTCTGTTCCCTCTGGGTACGTTGTCCACATGTGTGGTTTTTCTTTTATATTTGTTTTTGCCTGGTAGGGGAGTCTGCCTTGTGTTCCCCCCCCCCTCCCCCTTATATTAGGGTCGTTTGTGTGGTGGCACCCCCTGCTTTGCCTTCGCGAGTGGCACACGTCCCGTGGATTCAGCTTTAGCAGTTTGCTTGGTAGTTTGGGGCGCCGGTTAGCAGTGCCCTGCCTGGGATAACCCTTAGCAGACCCAGTCTAGGGGCCCTGGGAAACCCCCCGGGGGCTCTCGGGTCCGATAGTGGAGACCCTTGCGTCCCCTCTTGCTTTGTGCGAGTTCAGGGTTGCTCTGTCCCTTTGTCTCAGGGTGACTCTCCTTGTTTTTGTCTCCGTCATGCTGCCTGTTGGGTCAGTGACACATTCGACCCTGAGTCCTGTGAACTTTGTTGCTTGTTCATGACTCCATTCACCCAGTCTGCTGATGAATTCCCGTGGGTGCAGGCAGCTCGCTCGTTGCAGGGTTGGATGTTGCAACACGCTCTGGTTTGTCGCTTCCCCAGACGCCCCGAGGCTGCCCCGCTTGTGTAGGGACCCAGACTTGGGGGTTTTGGTCACTTCGGCCTTGGTTCCTCCACGCCCCCTTGTTTTTCCCCCTCCTGCTTCTGGCCCCTACGCATCTGCAGGCTGCGGGGTTAGAGGTTCTGAGACTTGGGCAGTTTCGGGGGTTGCCCCGTCTAGGGTAGCTTCGGAGGCATTCGAGTCTGTTCCTCCGGCCGATGCTCCGGGGTCTGACCAGTGGGCCCCTTCTCTTTCAGCTCTCTCGGCTGCCCCGGCTTTTTCTTGTGGGGCCGGGGCTTTGGAGGTCGACTCGGCCCCGGGGCCTGGTGTAGAGGCTCCTGGGGTTGGGGAGGAGCGGCCTTGGAGGCCTTAGGCTCCATTGCGCCCCGCCTGGATTTCCGTCCTTTTGAGCGGGGCTTACTGTTGCGAGGAGTGGGGTTTTCTTTCCCCCCTCTGCGTACGATTTGGGCTTGGGTTCTGCTCCTTCCCGGGTTCGGTTCCGTGTCCCTGTGGTTTCTTCGGTTCCGTCTTCAGGAGGTTTTCGGCTAACCGCATCTCTTCGCCTGCGGTGCGGTTGGCCTTTGCGGCTTACCTCCTGCGTGTCCCGGAGTTTGCCTCCATACTGGTTCCTTCTGTTCTGGACAGGTTGGGCTCCTTGTAGCCGGTTGGGCTCCTTGTAGCCGGTTGGGCTACTTCTCGCCTTGTTGGGCTACTTCTCGCCTGGTTGGGCTACTTCTCGCCTGGTTGGGCTACTTCTCGCCTGGTTGGGCTACTTTGCGCCTGGTTGGGCTACTTCTCGCCTGGTTGGGCTACTTCTCGCCTTTTTGGGGTACTGCGCATGCGCCGTGGGAGTTTGTTTTGGTTCCAGGCGGTGTGCACACGTGTTCTGCTTCCATTTCTCTCGGGGGGCTTCGCCTCTCGCTCTTTTCTTAATCCAATCCATGCCCCATTGCTTTGGGGGTGTTCTGGGGTGCCGCTGTGGGGAAATCATGAGGTTTTTCCCTGCGTTCTAGGGGTGGGGAGCCTCCTTCGCTGCTCCCCTCCTCTCCAGCATGGGCGCACTGGCCGCCTCCAGCGGATACGGACTCGAACACTTGCGTCATGACCCTTCAGATCCTATGTTCTGCAGGTGAGTTGGTGCGGTTTTGGCATCTCCTTCGTCCTGACGCTGTTTTCGTTTTTGGGCGTAGGAATGGGTGTACATACATCCTTGAGAACGTGGACCGTATCACCCGAGGTACCTACTGCAGGGCTATTAGCCCATACTGGGCAGTTCTTGTTCTCTCCACCTGATTCCTTCCTCGGTTCACGGGTGTCTGCTGGTGGCCTCTTGTCCCTTCCGAGGCAGTTCCTGCCTGTACTCCTCCTGCCCCTCTCCTATGCTTGTCTAACCTTGCTTGAGTTCGGGGCCTCGCCTCCACCTTGTTCCACAGTGCAACAGGGGGGGTGCCTGTTTGGTAGTACGTTTTCCTGTCGGAGGTTTTGTGTTCGCCTCCTTGTGCTTGCAAGTTGGGTTCTGGCTCTTTGTTTCCGCCTCTCCCCTGTTGTTTGCCTGTCGGGCGGATTCGGTGCTTCTTGGGCGCACTCATCTCTGCTCTTGGGGCTGTGTATGGGGTCAGCCCATGTTGGGCTGCCTAATGTGTTCCTTTGATTGCCTGTTACACTGCA